ATATATATATATATATATATATATATATATTAAAAAAATCTAATGACTTTGATTGTTTTATTAAAATATCGGCAGTAAGAATAAACATCACAAATCAATCCAGCATTTTTTTAATTTCAACATTCTGACACGGCTGCCATAAAACACGATTTAGATTTGTGCTCCGCTGTTAAGAAATCAGCAGATTTTACTGCCAAACAAGTTCAAACTTTGTCCCACCCGTGCAAAAATACAAGAGAAAAAAACTTATTTTCATGCAGCAATATTGGATGTAAGTCTTATTCATCAATCAGACAGATGTCTGAACTCTGGTTCGGAGGACACCCCGTCTCCAGGAGGACAGCGGGTGACAGACGGGGAGTGGGCGGCCTCTCTGTTCGCCTCGGGGATTTCATGCTGCTCAGACAAGCACTCCAAGAATGTCCCACAATCAGAGCCATTGGCTCCCGCTCCGCTGACCCGCTGTGCCGCCATCAGCTCATCAGGAGCCACGCTGTGTGAAAAACACTGCTTTTGCAACGGATTCCCTCCCATGACTCCCTGCTCCCCCCCACCCGACTCGTCGCTGCCCGCAACTGTCACCAGCTGCCTCCTCGCCGCGGTGCAGACTCAGTGACTCGCTCCGTCAGCCTGTTGCTGTCAAAAACAACTGCGGCTCGGCGGGAGGCGGCCATGATAAGGTGGCTCCAGGTTGCTAGGCTGCAGCATGACAGGTAAGGTGTGGGAAAGTGAGTTCAGGGTAGATTTGTGCTCTCCTGTCAAGTTACCGAAAAAGTTACAGCCTACTTCCTTTTTTTTTTTTTTTTTTGAGTTTTTTTGACATGCAGTTTAATAGGAAGCTGTCTCTTTGCAGTTCATTCGGGCTGCAAGGCAGCGAGAGAGAGTAAGACTTGTGGAAAGCAGAAAGGAGTTAAAACTTTCAGCGTTTTTTTTAAAATTCTGTTTCTAGCTGCTTTCCGCCATGAGATCAGCGAAGCACAGTTGGCGTATGAATGAAATATCGGAGAAGAGGAGACGCCTTACTCTGAATGACGCTGAGCCCAAACAGATGACAGTCCTTCAGCCGGAGGAGATCGCAAACCTGGACCAACAGTTCCTGGCACAGAGTCTTCACCTTACGAGGGAAATTCAGGAGATTTTAAGTTTTCCTCTGAAAAAACAAAAGTTATAATCTAGGGCTGCAACTAACAATTATTTTATAATCGGTTATTCTGGCGAATAATTGATTAAAAAATGGACACATTCTGCTGATTTTTGTTTATTTCACACACAAACAATTCTATATATTGAAAAACACTCCTAACATCATTTTATTTTATATTCAATGAAAAAAACATATAATTTTTTGTTTGGGATTAATTGCTACTCTCGGTATGCTCTCTCAGCAAATGGCCTTTTTTATGCTCTGCATATTCCAGTTAACGATTTATCGATTACTTGACAATTGTTTAAATAAACAATTCATCACATTTAATCCAATTAATCGTTTCAGCCCTAGTTAGATAAAAAAGTACATCCTGTTCAACATCTGTCAAGCTATTTTATTCTGTTAATAATTGTTCAAAGATCGACACAATCAGGCATAAAGGTCAAAGTAACAAACCCTTCCTGTTATATTTTCATATCTGTAAATAAATCACATGTGAAAGAAAAAAAAAAGTGTTCGCTCACATTGACGACGATGTTGAGAGTGTCATCATTGGGCAAAAAGACACAGACACAGCGGCGGTCCTGCATTGTTTTGTTGTTATGGAAGCTCAGTCTGTTCATCTTCGAGTGGCAGGAGGCGGAACAACGCAGGCCTTTCTCCGCCTGCTATCGGGGCTTCTGGGCCCTGTGACGACCCACCTCCACCGCCGCTGGCTCCGACACCACCACGTCCAGCTCCCGCCGTCCCGCTTCAACTGCAGCCCAGAGGAGGTCCGACCGTGGGCTCGGCAGGCCAAGCAGAGGCGACAGAAGAGGGCATGGGGAACCTGGGTGCAGCCGCGCCGCTGGAAAGACACACAAGACAGGAGTCATGAGACTTCGAAAGCAGGTTTCACCGTTTGAGCAGCGATGGTAGATAACAAATCCACACTGGAAGCTTCTGATAGAGCAGAGAGACGGAGAGATGGAAAAGGAAAAAGGAAATATTTTGTGTTTACATCTAGAAACAGAGAGAAAAAACATTTTAGAAGAATGTCAGTGACTCCAGAAAAATAATTGGCTGGTATAGAGATGGACGACGAGAGAATGGTGCAGAAAAACTCACAGCAGAGCGACTCATAAGAGGGTTTTTAATGCTGAAACGATTAATCAAACCAACCTTGATTCATTTGATTAATCGTGATTAATCAAATTACTCATGATTAATCGATTACTGAAACTAATCTAGTAGTCAATTGTTAAGTGGAGCATGCAAACTCAAAAAATGGTAATTTGCTGAAAGAACACCTTCAGAGCAGTAATTAAGCCAAAACAGTAAAAAAAAAAAAAAAAAAAAAA